GGCTGCACTACCAACGAGAAGGACTTCGTGCCGTGGTGTGCGCGCTGCGAGGGGTGGGGCCACACCAAAGAAAAGTGCGCGACGGAGGAGGCCGTCCTAGCACAGGTGGTGGAGCATGAGAGCGACGTAGACTCCGTGGAAGACCAGGCGTTTTGTGCCGTGGCAGTCCCCCCAACCAACCCCACTGACCTCAACAAGTACCACCTCGCGCCCGGCCATGCCCTCGAGACATTGCTCAGGATCACGGCGGAGCAGCAGGGAGTGCAGCTGACGGATGGACCGCTGCTACCCTGTCTTGGCTGTTCGATGTCCAAGGGACAGGTGAAACCCGTCCAGAAGAGCACGAGCACACGCGCAGTTATGAAGTTATTTCGGGTGTATCTTGACTTGGGGGAAAAAAAGATGAAATCCAGGAGCATTGGTGGCAACTGGTACACACACACTGATCATCAGAGACGATTTCTCCCGTTGGACGCTTGTTTTCTTCTTGAAACACAAGTCTGACGCAGCGGTTGGGTTTGAGAAGTTCCTGGCGGACTACCGAACGAGAGGGGTTCCATGTGGTGTTTATAACACACGTACCGACGGCGGCGGCGAGTTCCAGGGGCAGTTTGCGGAAGTTTGCCGCAGACACGGTATCAAACAAGAGTTCACCCCCCCTCACACCCCGAAATACAACGGTGTAGCGGAGAGAGCGCTAGGGTTAATCACTGATGCCGCGCTTGCGTCACGCATCCAAGCGACGCAACTGTTCCCCGACGCACCGAACCACCCCGGGTTGTGGGCCGAGGCCATTTCGTGTGCATGCCATCAGCTGAACTGCACCGCCACTAAATCAAACGAGGGAGACAAATGCGCCTACGAGATGTTCCACGACTCCCCACCGCATGTCGGGTCTACATTCCCGTTTCTCAAACCAGCCGTGGTCAAGTCAAGAAGAAAAGCAAAGTCGCAACCCAAGGGCGAAAAAGGATGGCACCTTGGTCCTGCCCACAATCACCCCCGTGACTGCGTTCGCATGCTAACCGAAGCTGGAACCGTAATCACCATCCGCAGTTTCACCTGGTGCCACGTGCCCTCTGCATCGCCCGCTCCCCCGCAGCTGCTACCTCTCGCAGATGATGAGGAGGGCGGGGAGGGCGAGAGCAGAGCGGATGCATCACGCCAAGGTTGGGGGGGGGAGAGAGACTCAGAGAGTGAGTCCGGCCTCGACGTGATGGAGGCTCGTGGGCCAGGGCAAGCGACGCCGTTTGTGCGCGAAGAGGCGTCAATGGCACCCGGCAACGGGATTCCGGGGGACGGAGGCAGCGTTCCCCCGCCGCTCCCTTGGGGAAGGGGCGACCTCGGCGGAGGCAGTGACAGCTCCACCGATAGCAGCAGCAGCAGCAGCAGCAGTGATGCCGGCGGTGCCGGCGGCCCGGGCGGCGAAGAGTCCGGCGACCCAGGTGGGGACGGCGGTAGCGATGGTGATCCCGGCGACTCCGAGAACCTCGAGGAGTTGAAGTATGATCCAGCCGACGACCGCTACCCCCGCGGGCTAGAAGGGAAGAAACTCCTCTGGGGCGCCTCGAACGCTGGTCCGCTGCGCCATGGGCTTGAGAGTGGCCGCACGTGGAAGCAGACCCGGGAGATGCAAGGTGCCGGGAAGATGCCGGGGCCCGGAGAAACACCGGACCCGGAAGAGGCATTGCTGGCGACCATCCTGGAAACTGGCGGGACGGGGATTGTTGAGGAC